CTGCTGGCTCTGCCCCTGATCTGCCTTCTTGTCAGGCTCAGCCAATCCTATGGACAAGAACTGTGATTGGATCAGGCCACCACTTCTGATGATGTCAGCAGACAGCTTGTTTTTCTGAGACAAACAGCATGGAGAGCTACAGCTTCAGGCTTGAATACAAGTAAGATTTTGCTATATTTAGGGAGGCATGATGGGCCCAGGGTGTCTAGATGGTTGTTTTAACACTATAGGGTCAGGAATACATGTTTGTGTTCCTGACCCTATAGTGTTCCATTAAGCTATTCTGAGTTCTTATAAGAATGTTAGCAGAACTGGGTTAGGAAGTATCTAGGTAAACTTGGGAAGACTGTAAATTTACTGAATTACCTTTAAATTGTGTCACCAAATTGTGATTTAGTGAATAACCCCTTTGTTTGTTAAGTATATTGGCATCTTTAAGATCCTCCGAAGATATTTGGAAATGTCTGAACTCAAGAACCTTTATGATCCATGAATGATGTAGAATCTAATGAAGTGCTCAGTTACTGATAGATCTAGTAATTAAATGAGAAAGTAATCTAATTACAAGGATCTCACACACAAAATATCATGACACTTGATTAATCTCTTGTAAATGCTAGTGAATGCTATTCTTTGCTTGACGTATGAGGAGTAATATTATCTTAATCTTATCACTACAAATAAAGCATTTGCTGAGCAATACAAGGCTTTTTTTTTTTTTTTTTGCTAGTACCAAGGGCCAAATTACTACAAATAAATCTTTGATATGTTGTAGAACACATTAACACATGCTACTTTGCAAACTTGTAGTCATCGTAGCCCTTTAATTAAGAAGATATTAAGTTTTTTATTAACTCTGCTCAGTCTGTTTTTAGGGACTGAAATTAATAAAGCAAAAGAGAGAAATGTACCGCTACTCCAAATAAGGAAAAAAAAAAACAATAAGAATGAGTATGGAAAATATCATAAAAGTAGCAGGAAACAAATGACTCACTCTGCCATGGCAGTAAATGTGCTCCAAGTTCTTTGTGCGGGCAGCAATGTTCCTCCAATTCAGAAAATTTGCACAAAAATAGTAGCAATACCACACTCAAAAAAACTATGGCGAACAAGTATCCTTGTAGTGCAGATATATTACAATAAATAGAGACACAGCTAACTCATCTCTGATCTGGGCATCAAAAGAAGAGGGTGGGTAAATAAAAAACCTGATAAACTAAATGAAACTGTGAACGGAACGCGTTTCACGTCACTGCTGGACGCTTTCTCAACATGCCCAGAGCAGAGATATGCTAGCTACAAGACCTGTCACTGGCTGTTTATTATTGTGGACATGCCATGTTCACAATATTGAAATAAATCTGCACTAGGCCTGCAATCTCTCTGCACTGTAGCTCTAAATTCCGAGCTATGCTGAAATAAATATTCTTAAGAATTAGTTTGTAATGCCATTAGTAAACTCCTGAGCATCCTTACAATACCTATAAGCAGGCTATTTGGAGATATTTATTTATTTGGTTACATCTACTGTATGTGGGAACACATGTATCTTTGCTTTAATACTTGTATTTTAGTACCTGTGTGACATATTTCAAGATAATGGATACTGCATACTACACAATATTTTTAATAAATACATAAAAAATTGTATATTTACGTTTGTGTCAAAAGTAATTTATTCACAAAATTTTGGTTCTCTCTCTCTCTCTCTCTCTCTATATATATATATATATATTTATTACAATACACTGACTCATAGCACTATATACAATATATAAAATGACAGCTAGGGTATGCAATAAAGTGTTTTCTAGGCCCTACAAGGGTTATAGTACTATCTAAAGGAAATCTCTAAGTGTGTTCATTTTTGTACAAATTCTGATGTTATAATGTAACAGTTTCAAAACAGCTAGATCTCATTATTCAAATACTATGTAGTATTTGTTTAATTGTGGATTTAATTGTGTTCAACCTAATTACTCTATGGCCTAATGGCACAATAAATATTTGACTCAACTCTATATAGATCTAAGGTACTAAATAAATAATGTTTGAGTTTTTTCAGATATCTGCATTCAACTAATGATTTTCTTATTCTTATTAAATACAATACAATGAGTTGCTTTTTTTTCTGTTTCTTTGGTTACTGAGTGCAAAGGATCTCATTATTTCAGTGCAGTGGGTTACAAATAAATAGATTCAATGAGTGTAAGCAACATTTTTGGAAGAATTAAAAATGGAAGATGAAAAGTGCTGCTTATTGAAAGTGAGGTGGAGGATGCTAAGCATAGGCTCATATTAATGTGAGGCTCCATGTAATGAAATACAGTCAGGTCCATAAATATTGGGACATCGACACAATTCTAATCTTTTTGGCTCTATACACCAACACAATGGGTTTGAAATGAAACAAACAAGATGTGCTTTAACTGCAGACTTTCAACTTTAATGTGAGGGTATTTACATCCAAATCAGGTGAACGGTGTAGGAATTACAACAGTTTCTGCCTCCCACTTTTTAAGGGACCAAAAGTAATGGGACAGATTAAAGTCATAAATCAAACTTTCACTTTTTAACCCCTTAAAACCGGAGGGCATACTATTACGCCCTATCCTGAGCGGCTCTATGCCCTCACGGGCGTATGCCCTCACAGTTTTTGTTACTTACCCGGTCGCCGGCGATCCCACGACGGCGATCGCGGTTGAGGAGACTCACCTGGGATCCCAGGGAGTCCCCCGCGGTGGATACTGCCTCCTGCGGCCCCCCCCGGGCATGTAAGAGTGAGGTCCTTGCGAGGACCTCACAATCACATGACCGGGTTAGCTGGCTGCTGCATTGCCAGCAGGGGGACTGTCTGTGATGACAGTTAGTCCCCCTGCTGGCTGAATTCAAATAAAATAAAGTTAAAGTCAGTATGAATTTTTTTTTTATATACTTAGATCATATATATATATATATATATAGATCATATATATATATATATATATATATATATATATATATATTATATATATATATGATCTAAGTATATCTATACATACATACACATACACTGTCTAGGTGTATTTTCTACCCTACAAAAATTGGATGGGGATATAAATAAACTTCAAACCCAACTTTTAAATCATACCTCTGCCGAGGAGTATGAAACTGTCACAAAAATTGTTCAAAAACATGTGGATAAAACAGAGACAGAGACTATAAACATCAAAAAGAAAAAATATAAAAGAGATAGGTACGATTATGATAATAATCAGGTCACTACTTATGCAACAAAAAGTAAATATACGGGGTCACAAACCAATGGTAAATTCAGGTACGATGAAAAGAGAAATTCTCCACAGCAGGAAAGGAGACATTTTTCACAAAAAATCAGACGGGGAGATCGATATGATGGAAATTGGACACAATCATATTATAGACGAGAAAACTCCCGAGATAGGGGACATCACTTAAGGATAAGATCACCCCACCCGAGGTTCCCTACACCACAATCAAGACACCTAAATTTTTCACCGGTCCAAATTAAAGATAGACACAAACAGGACAGAAAGGAAAGGGAACGATCACCAATTCTCACACGAAATAGGAAGGAAATACAGAGAAAACACATAAACTCAAATAATAGATTTGAAATCTTAACAGATAGACAGGATGAGGATGATTTTTTTCAGGAGGGACGTCAAAAAGGGAAATACAAAGCAGCCCAATCCCCACAGAATGCATCTTCACTCCAAAATACGCCCCCCAAAAGACAAAGGAATTTAAGAGGAGGGGAACTCGAGGAGGAAAGACACACAATAAGATAAAAAAAGTAACTACACATACTGAATCAATTATTTTTAATCTAACAGGAAATCCCTTACCACAGGCTCAACAAAAAGTTCTAAACAGAGGACTAAAATTTGCCCCAACACAACCGTTAAACAAATTTGACATGTTTATAGATTTGAATAGATATAAAAGACAATTATGTCTAAAGAAGTGCTTTCTAAGATCGGACCAAATGGCATATCAAATCCCTATATCAAAGTATGTACATACCGATCTTAAAGAGAAATCAACCTTCTTTCCTAATAATTTTATATCTAAGGAGATGATTTCATTCGAAAAAGCAGTAATGCAGGAAATAAGTAAAATCAGACCAAGAGATAAAAAACATAATAATCTAAACAAAAAAGAATGGCAGGCATTAAAAACACTTCAGAAGGATAAAAATAAGGTTATAAAACCGGCAGACAAGGGTGGAGGTATTGTAGTTATGAACACAAAAGATTACATACTAGAAGGCCTTAGGTTGGTAAGTGACGAGATAACATATCAAAAATTACCCAGTGATCCAACTATCAATATTAAAAAGAAATTTGACAATCTATTACAGAAAGGAAAGGATATTGAAGTATTAAATGACAGGGAATATAAATACCTCAATATCATTAAGCCAAAGATTCCTGTATTTTACCACCTTCCTAAGATCCACAAGCATCTTACCAACCCTCCAGGTAGACCGATAGTCTCGGGTATTAACTCTATATCTAGTAGACTATCGGAATACCTGGACAAATGTCTACAACCGGTGGTTCAGAAAACTCCTAATTACCTAAAAGACACCCTAAATATCATTCAAATATTACAAGATATACAGTGGGAACAACATTATATTTTGGTAACTGCAGACGTTAGTTCTCTATACACGATTATTTCACACACTAAAGGTATAGAAGCAGTAAATTTTTTTCTAAATAAAGATAGTATATATCCGGAGGAGCAAATTAATTTTATTATAGAGGGAATAGATCTCATTTTAAAGAATAATTATTTCTGGTTCAATAATGAATTTTTTTTACAAAAAGTAGGTACTGCTATGGGGACCAGGTTCGCACCAAGCTATGCCAATTTATTTATGGCATTTTGGGAAGAGAAACATATCAACAATAATATAGAATGGGGAGCGAACCTGGTCACCTATAAGCGGTACATAGATGACATATTTTTTATTTGGAATGGTTCAGAAACTCTTTTAAATACTTTTTTAACCTTTTTAAACATTAATGACTGGGGAGTTAAATTAACTACGGAATATAGCACCAACAGTGTAAATTTTTTAGATCTTACAATTTTTATAGAAGATGACCATATTAAAACGAAAACTTTCTTTAAATCTGTAGACGTGAACAACTATATTTTTTTAAATAGTTGCCATTTCTCTCCCTGGTTAAGGAACATTCCAAAAGCCCAATTAATGAGAATTCGTAGAAACTGCACTGACACAAGCACTTTTGAAATTCAAGCCACTAGGGTTAAGAACCAATTTGTTGAAAAGGGATATGAAGATAATCTGTTGATGAATACTATAAAAGAGGTAGAAAGCATGGAAAGATCCTCCCTTTTGAAATATAAATCTAAGGCGAGAAATGAGCATAATATGTTGCCATTTATCTCTAATTTCAATCAGGAAAGCCATAAAATAAAAAAGATAGTAAACAAACATTGGCCCATGCTAAGAAATGACCCCATGTTATATTCTATACTACCAGAAAGACCAAGATTTGTATACAGGGGAGCGACAAATTTGAAACAAAAGCTAGTACATAATCATATTAAAGAAGAATCAATCACACCTTTTTTTCAAAATAAAGGTTTTTTTGGCTGCGGACAATGCTTAGCTTGTAGGAACACAAAAAGCAAAAAAAGACATATCAGGGAGTTCCATGATTCAGCAAGAGGAAAGAAACACACAATAAAGGAAATGATTACTTGTTTTTCCAAAAGGGTGATATATCTTTTAAAATGCCCCTGTGATCTTTTATATGTGGGCAGAACGAAACGCCCATTGAATGTGAGAATAAATGAGCATATACGGAACATTAAGAAGGGCTACGATAAACATAGTGTTTCAGACCATTTTAGATTAATACATGACAAGGATCCACACTTTTTAGATTTTTATGCTATCCAAAAAGTCACATTAAATTGGCGAGGGGAGGACGAAATAAGAAAATTAGGTCAATTAGAAACAAAATGGATATTTAATTTAAACACTCTAACCCCCCAAGGCTTGAATGCAGATTTCGAATTATGTCATTTTTTATAATCATTATTTTTTAAAGTTTATTTTTAAGATGTTTAGTTTATTAATTAAAACATTTATTTATTTTTTAATTAATTTGTTTCATATAAATAACACATTATTTTATAATTCTAAACATCATAATTTGAATACATATTATTGTTGTAGGACCTAAGAAATATACCAAGTAGGGATCTGTACACCTAAAAGTTTTAAATGACTATAATAATAAATTATTATACATTTATAGAACCATATAAATATTTCAGGCAATATATATTTTTAACACTGGAATAATATAAAGTTCTTTAATGTATTAAAATATAATATTGATCAGATATTTTGCTGTATATATAATGCCATTTTTTATTGTTTTTACTGTTTCTATTTTTTCCTTGATGTTATGTATCATATCACTGATGTGTTTACTTTTTAAATGTATCCTGAGTGTATCATCAGAGAAAAGGGGCAACAATGAAACAAATACCACTATTAGAAACTGAGATTTAGGTGCAGTAGCACCATGGGACGTGTAGTTCACGAAACCGGAAGTGACGCAACGGCACTTTTTGCCCGCGAAAACCGGAAGTGACGTCAGTAAACCCAAAGCATGATGGGACTTGTAGGATCAAAGCGCGGAAGTGACGTGACGCCATACTGGAGACACTGGACGCAATCAAATCAACGAGCAGAGGAATTTTCTGGCGGGAAATTTGAAGATATAAAAAGGGGACTTGATGCACAGTATTGTTTGAAGCTGACTGAGGAAGCCGTTCTTTTCGGTGAAACGCGTTTTGGCTAAATAGGTGGACCTGTTAATAGACCACCCAATATAATTATATTATTTGTAATTGTTTTTATTATTTTCTAGTAGTATGTATACATTTTTATAGTTTTCAAAATAAACATATACATTTTATTTACTATCCAATCATACTCTGCGCAAGTGATTTCAAGAAGGGGGCAGTGTCATCCCTATTAATTGACACTAGGCTAAAATACTTAGAGCCGGTAACCAGAGGCTCTAAAGAAGGTGAGCACTTTTGTATTTTATTTACATTGATCTATATCAGTATCTAAAATACTACATTTAGATTGGAGATATCTGTGTCTTTTTTCTATGCAACGTGGAGAGAAATCTACGCCCTTTTTCACCTTGGGAGACGGGTCGTGTGATCTACCCCAAAAAAAGACACAGACACCTGGAAGTTTAGAGCCTTATAACTGGAAAAGGCTCTAAAAAATGTGAGTTCATTTCAATTTATCATCCACAACTAAAGGACTTTATACAACATTCATTTAATATACTACACTATTATTTGTATTTTTTTTTTTTTGTTCTTTTTTTTTTTTTTGGTATACCATTAAGAAAACTAAAGCACAATATATAGGGTAAGTGCGTGTTCTAGCACTATTCCTTCACTGAAAATTTCACTTTATATTCTCTATATTCAGCGCTACACTCATGAGAAACTAGGGATCTGGGTGATATATAGTATCTACCTAAATCCAAAGTTCTCTCTCTCTTTTTTGGTATTTTACTATTAATATATATAATTATATGTATATATATATATATATATTAATATCAAATTACACGTAGACTGATACTGATTAAATATATATATAATTATTGTTATATATATTTATGTATAATATAAAAATATATATGTAAATACATTAAAAAATAAAATAATTAAAAATAAATAATTAAAAATTATATAGATGTGTGTTATTTTGTTCTAACTGTATTGTGATATTAATATATATATATATATATATTTATATCAAAATACATGTAGAACGAAATAATATATATATAAATCTATATACATAAATATATACGTATATATCACTACATATATATATATATATATATATATATATATATACACACACATACATATATTAATTCTACATATATATTTATGTAATATTTTTACATAATTAGGTATTTTAATTAATTACAATTAGCGGGACCTGCCTGACAACCCATGCCAAAAGTATAGGGAATTTCATTTGCTAGCACTATATTTAACCCTATAACTTTCCAAGACACCATAAAACCTGTACATTGGGGGTACTATTTTACTGGGGAGACTTCACTGAACACAAAGATTAGTGTTTCAAAACAGTAAAATGTATTACAAAGATGATATCGCCAGTTATAGTGATGTTTTTTGCATTTTTCACAAACAAACAGCACTTACACGGACGGTATTATTGCTGTGACACTTTTTACTGTTTTGAAACACAAATATTTGTGTTCAGCGAAGTCTCCTGAGTACAACAATACCCTCATGTACAGGTTTTATGGTGTTTTCAAAAGTTACAGTGTCAAATATAAGGCTTGTGTTTCATTTCTTTCACAATAAAATTCGCCAGATTGGTTACGTTGCCTTTGAGACCCTATGGTAGCCCAAGAATGAAAATTACCCCTATGATGGCATACCATTCACAATAGTAGACAACCCAAGGTATTGCAAGTGGGGTATGTCCAGTCTTTTTTGGTAGCCACTTAGTCACAAATACTGGCCAAAATTGGCGTTTTTTGCCTTTTTCACACACAAACAAATATTAACGAAAACTTTGGCCAGTGTTTGTGACCAAATGGCTACTAAAAAAGACTGGACATACCCCATTTGCAATACCTTGGAATTCTCTACTATTGCAAATGCTATGCCATTATGGGTGTAAATTTCATTCCTGGGCTACTATACAGTCTCAAAGGCAACGTAACCAATCTGGTGAATTTCAATTTCTTATTTTCTCCCATTTTTTTCATATTAAATTATGTTTAATAGCTAAATATTTGATATTAAATGAAAGCCCTCTTTCCCCTGAATACAATGATATATAGTAAGTGTGGGTGCATTTAATATGAAAGAGGTGAATTACGGTTGGACAGACATGTAGCGCAAATGCCAGGTTTTGTTTACGTTTTGTTTTGTTCACAACGTGTACATTTGGCTTAGTCCTTAAGGGGTTAATACATGGTTGCAAATCCTTTGCAGTCAATTACAGCCTGAAGTCTGGAACACATAGACATCATCAGACGCTGGGTTTGATCCCTGCCAGGCCTCTACTGCAACTGTCTTCAGTTCCTGCTTGTTCTTAGGGCATTTTCCCTTCAGTTTTGTCTTCATCAAGTGAAATGCATGCTCAATCAGATTCAGGTCAGGTGACTGACTTGGTCATTGCATAACATTCCACTTCTTTCCCTTAAAAAACTCTTTGGTTGCTTTTGCTTCGGGTCATTTGACAGAATATGAGCAGATAATATTGCCCGAAACACTTTAGAATTCATCCTGCTGCTTTTGTCAGCAGTCACATCATCAATAAATACAAGAGAACCAGTTCTATTGGCAGCCATACATGCCCACGCCATGACACTGCCACCACCATGCTTCACTGAGGTGGTATGCTTTGGATCATGAGCAGTTCCTTTCCTTCTCCATACTCTTCTCTTCCCATCACTCTGGTACAAGTTGATCTTGGTCTCATCTGTCCATAGGATGTTGTTCCAGAACTGTGAAAGCTTTTTTAGATGTTGTTTGGCAAACTCTAATCTGGCCTTCCTGTTTTTGAGGCTCACCAATGGTTTACATCTTGTGGTGAACCCTCTGTATTCACTCTGGTGAAGTCTTCTCTTGATTGTTGACTTTGACACACATACACCTACCTCCTGGAGAGTGTTCTTGATCTGGCCAACTGTTGTGAAGGGTGTTTTCTTCACCAGGGAAAGAATTCTTCGGTCATCCACCACAGTTGTTTTCCGTGGTCTTCCGGGTCTTTTGGTGTTGCTGAGCTCACCGGTGCGTTCTTTCTTTTTAAGGATGTTCCAAACAGTTGATTTGGCCACACCTAATGTTTTTGCTATCTCTCTGATTTTGTTTTTTTTTTCAGCCTAATGATGGCTTGCTTCACTGATAGTGACAGCTCTTTGGATCTCATATTGAGAGTTGACAGCAACAGATTCCAAATACAAATAGCACACTTGAAATGAACTCTCTGCTCCTTGTAAATGGGATAATGAGGGAATAACACACACCTCGCCATGGAACAGCTGAGCATCCAATTGTCCCATTACTTTTGGTTCCTTGAAAAGTGGGAGGCACATATATAAACTGTTGTAATTCACCTGATTTGAATGTAAATACCCTCAAATTAGAGCTGAAAGTCTGCACTTGAAGCACATCTTGTTCATTTCATTTCAAATCCATTGTGGTGTTATATAGAGCCAAAAAGATTAGAATTGTGTCGATGTCCCAATATTTATGGACCTGACTGTAACTAACATTCCTGATCTTGTCTCTGTAAGAGATTGTGGAAAAACTGGTTACACTTGTGTTTATTTTTAGCATATTTATTAATAAAAGGAGTTGATTTTATGGTCCATAAATGATGTGGGATCTAAACTGACATAGCTAGGAATTAAATGTGATAGTCTTTTTAATTACAAGAATATCTAGCACAAAATATCATATCACTTGATTAATTGCGCGTCATTGCTGGTGGATGTTTTTCGGCACTAGATGTATGGAAAATTATATTTTCTTAAAGGGACACTATAGTCACCCAGACCACTTCAGCTCAATGAAGTGGTCTGGGTGCCAGGTACCTCAGATTTTAACCCTTCACATGTAAACATAACAGTTTCAGAGAAACTACTATGTTTACATTATATTTTCTTAAAGGGACACTACGCTAGTCACCCAGACCACTTCAGCTCAATGAAGTGGTCTGGGTGCCAGGTACCTCAGATTTTCAACCCTTCACATGTAAACATAACAGTTTCAGAGAAACTACTATGTCCTTACATTTGGGCAGTTAGGGATCCAGCCTCTAGCATGGCTGTCTTCCGGACAGGGGCAAGAGGTGAAACAGGGGGCACTGAGTGCCTGCAGGCAAACCATAGGCGTGCCACGGGGATTAGGGTGTGCCCAGGCACACCCGGCACACCCCGTGCGCACGCCTATGCATTTGGGGTTAATCCAGCCTCTAGTGGCTGTCTTCCGGACAGTCACTAGAGGTACATCTGCGACGCTGCAGGCACATTTTGCCTCCAGAGTGTCCATAGGAAAGCATTGAAAAAATGCTTTCCTATTGACAGCTTGAATGCGTGCGTGGCACTTGCCGCACATACGCATTCGGCTCCAGTGACGTCGGACGGGGAGGAGAGGTCACCAGTGCCGAGGGAGCCCGGCGCTGGATTAAAGTAAGTGGCTGTAGGGGTTTTAACCCCGTCAGCTCCACAGGAGGGGGACCCTGAGGGTAGGGGCACCCTCAGGGCACTATAATGTCAGGAAAACCGCTTTGTTTTCCTGAAACTATAGTGATCCTTTAAGGTTTTCACTTCAAGAGACATATGAAGCAATTTAGTGAAAACAAATTTGGCACATTGCCTTTGATTTGTATACTTAATTTAAGGGGAAAGTAATATTACACTTATTAATACATTGCTAACAGTATTGTACTATCTATACTCTATACTACACATTCCTAAGCTTCCTAAGTTCTCACCGTTCAGATGTATCTTATCCTGGCTTCTGCTATTTATAGAGTGCTGTGTGTCTTTCTCAACGCAGAACGTGTCCAGCAGCTTTAGGGCTTGTTTTCTTTTTCTGTATCCCTGTTCCCCCTGCTTTATGTTTCTATGAAGATAAATTGTGGTTTTGTACCTGCATTAATGTTTTTATTTCTACATTTACCATATTTGTTGTATAGTTCATACTTAAATGTTACATCCCAATCTCAATAAACAGCACTGTTCATGATGAGAACATTGTGAGTTGTGAAGTAGATTGAGTATGAACGGTCCACCATCTTACATTGTTTTCTATTTTTAAATTTAATTCATGGGCTAAAAGTCAGGCATCATTGAGCACCATGAACAGTAATGAATTAAATTACTAATTAAATGGTAAGAAATTATACAATACATGGAAGTGAACACTGATTACTCTTATGATAGTAGAAGCCTTCCCAACTAGGGGTTTGGATACATGGTGACTTAAAGGGACTATGTAAGCACCCAGATCACCTAATCTTATTAAAGGGACACTCCAGGCACCCAGACCACTTCTGCCCGTTGGAGTGGTCTGTTTGCCAATTCCCACTACCCTGAACCCTGCAAGTGTAATTATTGCAGTTTTCATAAACTGCAATATTTACATTGCAGGGTTAATTCCTCCTCTAGTGGTTGTCTACTAGACAGCCACTAGAGGAGACTTCCGTGTTCATTTTAAAACGACGCTGGACGTCTTCACGCTATTGTATAATGCTTTCCTATGGGGAGGTCTAATGCGTGTGTGCGTGTGCGCGTTAAGACTCCCCCCGCCGTCTAACCCAACACCAAGGGACATCGGCGCTGGACTCCGGTAAGTGACAAAAGGATTTTAAATCCTTTCAACACTGAATGGGGGCACGAGGGAGGGGCCGGGGCAAGGGTAGAGGATACAACTTTGCATTCCTAGCACTATAGTTTCCTTTAAGTGAGAGCCTACTATCAGACCCTTCTATTGTTAAAATCTGTCAGAGAAGAATTACACCTATATTTTCCCCAAACAATATATATAGGATACATCTTTTGATTCAATTTGGCTGGCCCATAAGGTATAAGTTTTTTTTTTCTGTAAAACACGTCAACTTTCAGAAAAATAAATGCCTTGAGTGACATTTGACCCTAACATCTAAATAAGTAAGCAGCTTCCGAAGCTACATACAAGGAGATCCAAAATGTTGAAAATGATCTAAACCCCATAGAGCTACACAAACCCAATTATATACTAGAGACAAAATCAACATCACTTTAAGGAAGGCTATAGATTGTTACAGCAATACTTGCCTCAAAATAAAAAAAATAAAAAAAACATATAATGGGGCAGACCCATCAGTCAGTACGTGTAGGCTTGTGCACACGTACTCTTCCACCATGTTGATGAAATGCTGCCTCCTGCTAAGACGTTCCATTTCAGCTGGTGGTGCTGGTTGTTGTGGCGTGCTGACAAAGCTTTTCCACATTTCGGCCATGCTAACCCTGCCTTCTGAGGTGATGGCGGTGCCCCAGCTGTGTTGGCGACCTCTTCCTCCTCCTCTGCCTTCACCTTGTGCTTCCACTGAGCCCCCGGTGTCAGTTGGGAATGCCCTCAGCAGCGCGTCTACCAGCATGCGCTTGTAGTCGTGCATCTTCCAGTGAGGGAATTAAGGACGGCACGTTGTCCTTGTAACGGGGATCCAGCAGGCTGGCAACCCAGTAATCAGCACAAGTTAGAATGTGGGCAACTCGGCAGTCGTTGCGCAGGCACTTTGGTGACTCTAGATAACCTCCCGCCGATCGCACGTCCCCGTGACGGCGACGACACATTCAGATGTCTGCCCTATCAACTTTCGATGGTACTTTCTGCGCCTACCTCGGTGACCACGAGTAACAGGGAATCAGGGTTCGATTCCGGAGAGGGAGCCTGAGAAAGGCTACCACATCCAAGGAAGGCAGCAGGCGCGCAAATTACCCACTCCAGACGCGGGGATGTAGTGACATGAAATAACAATACAGGACTGTTTTGAGGCCCTGAACTTTTCAAAGTGTGATGTAACCACAATATTTGACGGTTCTATTTGACTCTCAGATATGAAGTGCACCGCAGGCAGCAAATGTATTATTTAGCACCAAATAAAAATAGAATTTTTCAAACTGCGATGTAACCACAGTATTTGATGGTTTTATTTGACTCTCAGATATGAAGTGCACGCCACAAATTTACTTTTTAGCACCCAACAATTTTGAATTTGTCAAACTGCAATGTCACAGCAGTATTTGACGGTTCTATTTGACTCTCAGATATGAAGTGAACACCACAAGTTTACTTTTTAGCACCAAAAAAAATGTGAATTAGTCAAACTGCAATGTCACAGCAGTATTTGACGGTTCTATTTGACTCACAGATATGAAGTGCACGCCACAAATTTACTTTTTAGCACCAAAAAAAAATTGAATTTGTCAAACTGCAATGTCACAGCAGTATTTGAAAATGCCTATATGTTGCCCACTGAGCTACCAGAACAGGATTAAAGTAATGTGCCTGGCACACATGCAGTTGCAAGTGCCCACCTAACAAACAGACTGATTGCTTATTTATCTGTGGCACTGGGCTCAGGGCAGAGTACAAAAATGTAGTATAGCATGCACAAAAATAATCGCTGTAGTTTGCAGATTAACATCAGCATTCTTTCCTAATCTGTCCCTCACAGCTGCAGCATCCTCTCCCTACACTAATAAGAGCGCATGTGACTCCAGCTTATATAGAGGCTGGGTCACATGTTGCACTGGCCAATCACAGCCATGCCATTAGTAGGCATGGCTGTGATGGCTTCTAAGGGCACACGAGTCAAACGCTTGTTGATCGGCTGCCCTGCAGCTTTTCAAAATGCGCCATTAAATCACCGAACACCAAACTCGAACTGTCACTGAAATGTCCGGGCTCGTGTTCGGGGTCCATAAATTGTAATGTTCGGTACAAGCCCTTGTATCTCATTGCACTGATTCTGTGCTAATTCAGGACTGTTTGTTTTACTGTTGCGTTTTTCCCATACCCCTTTTAGCTTTCTGTACCATTGTATCAAAAATTAAATAAACTTCAATTGGAATTAAAAAAAATTAAACAGTAGTGGCATAAAAACACTTGGGAAATTTTTTTTTGAATTCTATACATTTTACACCAGAGATATATATTTAGTCATATACGTTTTTAATTAAAAATTTTATTATAGGATTTTCACAAAGAAGAAAAATGTATGAAGAAAACATTATAAATGATGCATAAGCTGCATCTATAAGGTAATAAGATAATTGTAAATAAAACAAGGAAAAGTAATTTTATTAATAAACACATTTAAATGTAAATATAATATTCCAGAACCCGAAAAAAGGAGCTTTAAAACTGCTGAAAATATGGATGGTTGACTATTTTTGTGTGTTTGCTTTTAAGACTGAGGACAATGAACATTGGTATACTTGGCAAAATTAGGTGGTTGCTTTCTGAATCAGAACTGCTAGCACAATAATTTGAGCACTAAGATAGAATTGACAAAGGAGGATAAGTAAAACAGGACTTAAGCTGTTGCTTATAGCTATATGTTCTTTAAATTAGGCGCCTAAACCGAATGTGTCACTCCATCTTTGAGAGAATACATCTTCATGATCCTCTGGGGATTTTGAAAAATAAGGCTAGCTGCAATAGACACACGAACCAATGATTGGCCTTCTCATGGAAAGGCATGGAAAAAAACCCAAATCAATGTAACACAATATATTAAAATTTCCTGGATGGAATTAGTGCTTATCCACATACTTCAGAGTCTACACCAACCCAAATGATATTCCGATATCCAGCAAACAAATACATTTCCCTGGGTTGTCTGTAATAAAATATGTAATAAGATTATCACATTGTTTTCTTAATATAATTTATGGCTTTTCAATTGAGTTTTTTTTTTTTTTTTTACTGGTCAGTGTATTCTTGCTTTGTGAAGCTTATGTGATTAGTTCACTTAAATATAAGTGGGGTGCCAAACAACTTGCAAATATATATATTAATAACATATTTTAAAAAATAGCTAATTGCAAAATATTTTACCCACCTGGCTGCCTCTAAAAACTATGATGTGCCACTTATATGGATAGTGAAAAGTTGCATCCAGGTCTTGATAAGGGGGTGAAAGGAAGTGTGCTGCATGGAAAGGGGGCTTGTCAATCTCTCTGTCCAGTCCCAATCAGGAATGACTGCAAAGTGCTTCTACCATAAGCTTTGCCATGAGCTCAGATCCTTGAGCTTTCTGGAGACATTTCTTAGATGTGCTCAAATGTGGAATACCGAGGAATAAACATGCGGGCAGTAGAAATGGACCGTGAATCTGGAACGGTCCACTATATTAAGAACTATGTGGAGTTATGCATTATGTAGCACTCAAATGGTTGAACCCCAAACTTTTTTTTTTCTTTACTTACTTTTGTTTAAGTAAATGCACATCTATGTCCTGGAAATAGACTTCAACAAATCAATAAACATAAAAGAATGCATTGTTAATAGATTTAGATAATCTGCCACCAATATTGTAGAAAATAAACTGTCACCAATAGTTATATATTGTGGAAGAGGTTTGTAAAAGATTATAATTTATTTGGGGAAAGTGATCGTTATGTGGTTTCTGTATCATTGATCATGGAAGGATATAGGATTTATGTGAAATAGTTAGATAAACTGTTACATATGTTTTATCCAAAGCTCTTTCTCTATCTTAAACTAGACCTACATTCAGAACATAATGTCAATTCCCCATATTATACTGTGTAAAGTATCTGTAAAGCCAAATGTACTCTCTATATTGTACATGTAGCTATTTTTCTAATTGCACTATCAATGTTTCTGAGACAAGTAAACAATACCCAATTGCAGTCAAAGAACATTGACTATTACAAATATATTCCATGATATTTTCTAAGTACAGCAGTCTGAAACGGTCTCACTTGCTACAAAGTCTTGGCTTTGGGGCTTTGCTGTTGATGTCAAAGTTAATTTTACATGATAACGGGAGTCTGAATGTCTTCAAAAATCTTAGATGGTGACTACCTTAATCTCTTTAAAGATAGTAGCCTGATTATTTCTACAAAATTATTAGTACCAACGTACTAATGGAGCTAAAATGCTTTGGAGAAAGCATCATCCTAAACAGTGGTTCACAAACTTTTTAGGTTCAAGGCGCCCTTAATATTTTAATATTTTTCCAAGGCGCCCAAAGTCAAAACATTGTTTTGGTTGTATATATGTACAGCGCAGCGGCATATACTGAGCACCTGTTCTGCAGAAATGCTTGCCGTTCAAGCGCAGATCCAGAATCTAATCTTGGGAGGGGCACTGGTAGATTCTTTAAAGAAACAATTCCGGCACAATAACCACTACAGCACTTTGTAGTGGTTATGGTGCCAGAAGTGCTGTTTAGAAACATTTTGTTTGACAACTTACCTGGGGTCTGCCAGGATAGGGGCTGTAGAAGGGGATAGGTGAAGTAGTGTGTGTGAGGTGTGCAATGTGTGTGTGTGTGAGAGTGGTGGAGTGTGTGTGTGAGGGGTGCAGTGTCCAGTGTGTGAGGGGTGCAGTGTGCGTGTGTGTGTGTGTGAGGGGTGCAGTGTGTATTTGTGGGGCAGCTTGTGCGTGAGGGGTACAGTGTGTGTGGGGGGCAGGTTGTATGAGGGATGATAGTATGAGGGGTACAGTTTGTGTGTATGGAGGGGCAGGGTGTGTATGGGGGGAGTTATTGTGTGGTGTGGAGTGTGTGGGGGTGGGAAGGCAAATTCATGAATATATAATTTAAAAAAAAAATTAAATAATAATTTTCATTGATGATAGCACTGGAGCAATATCTTGTGGCCCCCCTGTGTGCTACAGCACACAGTTTGGGATCCGCTGATCCAAAAAAATAAAAATAATTCATGGTGAGAGGATAGGCCCCCTTCATCGTCCAAGAGGAGGGACAAGATATGGCAACAAGTAATATATAGCTGTAGATTTCCCAGGCCAGAACCCACTGCTCAACTATTCAGAGTAGAAAGTAGTGACAGACAATACACATCATCCATGATTAGCTTATTATTAATTTAAAAACTACCTGAGCGGAGAAGAGACCAGTGGCCTGGTTTCCTCTCCTTTATTTCATGTGATTCTGGGTTCACCCTGGCTCCATATTCATGACCTTGTAACCGGATTGGGGAGCGTGGTGGGTTAGCCTATGTGTCCTTTTCCTCTGACTACTATTTACAAAATTACCTGAACAATAATGAATCTCAAGGTACTTTGAATACCAACCTTGATATCAATATATAACATGGCAAAGAAGTCATTTTACCAACAGTTTATGACTCATACAAGGACGTGTCTAATAAAAAAAGGCAGAAGAGAAACATCCTCTCAGATGTATTTACGACTTTCCAATTTATATACTCCCTGGTGCAGCTATTCCATTTGGGAGCATAAACCTTTTGTCCGATCCGGACCTTAAAATCCTTAAGGAAAATATAAATTAAAACTTACAAAAGGATTTATACATCCATCTATGTCACTTGCTGGTGCCAACATCTTCTTCATGGTAAAAAAAGATGCTCTATGCCCCTGTTTATCTTGAGCTTAATCAAATTTCGATAAAAAACAGATATCCATTACCATTATTGCAGAACTATTGGGAGAATGAAAGATGCTTTCTGTTATGGTTGCCTCAGGCTAGCTGAGGGTTGGACCGCTTGGATGTCCTTGTCCCCAATTCTGGAGAGCGGTAGAAAGCTCCAATTTGGCATCTAGCAATATTCCTGCAAGTGTACAGTATCCATATAGCTCCTAGCAGTGCTAGCGATCAACATTTCTCTACAACACGAGTCGAGGCTGCGAGTTGAGGGTAAGAAGTCTGGTTTATTGAACAGCAAGGCATTGCTTATATACAGTTTTCCATGCCAGAGGCACACCCCTCTGGACCTGATGGTACACAGTGTGAC